GGCTGAAATGCAGCAATCTACAGGACAAGACAAGAGGTGTAGAATAAAGGTAAGAATGGTTGAAGTGCACAGTGAACTACTTTGCAAGGGTACAGTTAAAGAGTAGAAATGTTATGATAATCCTAAACAAAATGTCACTGGAATTTATAGACATTTAATAGGACAGCAGTCTCATTCTAAGGAAAACTATCCTCATTATGACCCTGAAGCCTCCCCAGCTACATTAGCCAGCTACCTTCTTTTGGATTAATTACTACATTTTGGCATAATTCTGTGGACCAAGATGAGGAGAAAAAGTACATCCTGCGAGGTTTTAGCCATAATTTGGATGTTGCATTGTGTTTGAGATTTCACAGAAATTACTTGTTCAGTCCCTTTTTAATATGTTGCAGCTTAAAACCCCCCACATCTTACAAGTCCTACATTTTTCATATTCCTAAAGCCAGCTATCTGAAAGCCAGAAGCAGTGGTTTCTCCACTGGGTATTGGCATAATAAGCAAAGATATGTATCTATCCCATATCTAACACAGGAAACCTTATGTAGGAATTGTCCATACAAGGCATGTGGGATGTGCCAGGTTTGTGCCTCTTACAAAAAACGCACTTGGGATCACATTATCGCCATGACAACTGCTTGTACGTATTAATAATTTGTTGTGCACTTAAACATAGCTTATGGAAAGGACTGAATAATAGGAGTTTTTCCAAAGAAAGCACTTGTAACACAAGCTGTGCTGATCCAAGCCTTACACCAGCAATCAGCGAGCCTGAAACCTCCCAGCATGAGCTTAGCAGGACATTTCACAGATGCTTATGTTATCTGTTTAAAAGGAAGGAATTTAAGGATGGGCCCAAGTATCTTTTGAACTGGGGTCTCTACTCGAGACTCTCAGTGCTTCTGTCATGTTTGGAAAGTGAGCTAATTTCAGTATTTGTTTCCTCATCGGGCTGAAATCATGTATTTGTCCATCTGGCAATAAAGTGATAGTATTTGTCCTGGCTGAGGTGGTGTTTGTCCAGTATTCTAGAGATTAAAACTGGTAGATGATAGTAGGAGGAACGTGGCCCTGCACTCAGGTGCACAAGGATGTACCCGCTGCTCCAGTGCTCCTACCCAGCCAGGCTGGACACAGAGAGTTCAGTGCCACAGTCATGAGACGAGAGCAGGAAAAAAAATACTTGGGAAATATTAAGCCCCTAACATTGGAGAATCAGCACTCTATTCCTAGCTTTTAGAAGACTCTTGACTGTGAAATATCTGTAACCATAGTGATTTGAAAATGTGATTTTCATGGTTACTCTGTAATTTCTTCTTTCAGTAAGACACTGCACTTCCTGCTTTATCTACCACACAAGCGTGAATGATGAACTAGCAGATTTCAGCAATATGTTTTGTGGCATGCAAGGTGATTAATAATGAGATTCTATCTTTTACAGAAACCATTCTGTTGAAGTGAGTGGGCCACTGTTCACAGTGGTATTATTGATGTCACTGATTTTGTGTACTATCTGGACTCTGAAATTAGTCAAATATACAAAAATAGTATTTGCTTGTAATGATGTAATAAATATCTGATGTAAAAGTGTTCTGCTTTTCTTCTGGTCTTTTGCATCTTTAAGATGACAGGTTTATCTGATTTAATGAGACTATTAAGACACAAAACATATATTTTATTCAGCAGTGGACAGTATCTGAATATGCAAGAGATTTCATGATGTGTACTTCTGAATTTATTTGATCAGAAGTCCCTTTCCTCCTAGAGGCAGTTGACTTCCACACTAATGTACCAGTGTCTATATTCTTTGCTTGCAGAAATACATGTCTTAATCAAAGTTGGCAGGTCTACATCTAAAGGTGGCAGCTCATTGTTACACCATTGTATAGCCTTTAAATTGTATAGTATAGTCTTTATATTGTATTGCATAGCCTTAATTCTGCATTTAGTATTAAAAAACCATAGCAACAGACATTCTGGACGTGCATTGATGGATAATTTAGAATCACTAAAATATTCAAAGAGAGAGTCAGGTGTGAAGGAACTAATTTACGTGTTCCTTACTCTACAATGCTAAGTTCACAATACATTGTATAGTTGGACGGTGCAATATAAATCTACATAAATCTGCATTTAAACACTGATGTCTCATAGTACAATGGAAATGTTGGTGTTACAGACAAGATTATTGCAGTTGCTAACACCCTCATCCATGAGTTTCAGATTAATTTCAGACTAGTAGAGAATTAGTTGGCACTATAGGCTAACAGCTGAATAACCTACAGCTGGATGTGTGTAAACAAAAGTGCAGTCAGCCTGACCAGTTCACCTCTCTCCAGAATGTCACACATGTGACACATTGGTCCCTGACTCAGGTGTCAGCACACCAGTGTGGCCTCCATAGCCCTGACTCACTGGGGCAGCCGCACCCAGGCAGCTCCTTAGGTACAAACTACTCACATGCCAGGCATATATTCACATACTAAATACGATTTATTACTGCCATCTCACAGGTTACAGTTTAATCTTACTGTGTATCTGAAGCCCTGACAAACACCCAACTTATGCAACACAGCACGTATCCTTTCATAATTAGATTCTCCTCTGAAGGCTCACATAAATATCTAAGAGAAAAGCAACTGTGATTCTCTAAACAAATGATTGTCATTCTCAAGTCAGAGGGAGGAAGGAGATCTGATTTCTGATCCACATATAGACAATTCAAAAGAGTAGGAGGATAAAATACAGTATGAGGATAAAATAATGCTTGGAATGGAGATGGAAACCAAAGGTTTCCCCTTCTCTGTGTGTCCAGATAAATGAATCCTGAATTTCCTTTGCAGAGTCCTGAATTCTCCTGTAGTGAGTGGCACAGCTTCAGCTTTCAGCAACAATCAGGGAGTGCTGAATCATCTACCCCTTCCCAAGTGGAGTTTCTCTAAAAAAGAGCTATATCACTGAGCCTTTTCAAGTGTTCCTTTCTTTACCACTACGCTCCTGGGAACCATCACAAGTGCTCTGAAGACAGCAGTGATTGTTAATCTGTGAGGCGTCCAGCCTGGTACACACTAGCAGGAAGAAACTATTAACTTGGCTTGTTTGCCTACAAAACTGCAACTGAAATCCTGCCATGTTTTATCTGGTAGGTGAGAGGAAAGCACAGCTCATGTAGATGGTTTGAAGTGTGATCCTCAAATATGTAATTATGCCAGAAAGTCAACAGTTATTAAAGAAAATGAACTTTAACTTGGCAAATTACACAAGAGTTGATGTTATTGTTTCATATTCTTTGCATATATTTTGCTCAAGACTACTTTGGGAAAATGTGCTGCAGAGTGAATTCTTGAAACCTATCACTTCTCAATGAATGGTACTTTTCCTTCTACAACTTTAAGCACAAAACTAAGGTCATCTGAAGATGGCAACCTATGTGAGAACAGCAAAATTATTTTGGAAGATAAACAAAACCTAAGTGAGGCAATTCAAACCAACTGATGTCTAGCAGGAGAGTATGACACCAAGAAACCGAGACTGACCCATGAAAGCAAACATTCCTTACCCCTTGCTCACTATGGAATTCTTAATTTCCTTCAATAATAGGCAAAGAATTTAACAAGTCAGACTCCATACTACGCAAGTGATGACCAAGACAATTAACACAAATTAACTAGGAAAAGTCATTGTGCCCTCTTGAAATTAGGAAATCAATATTTTATCAACATTTTGACCCATTTAAGTGAAAAAATATTAAACTGATATTTTCATGCCTTTTGTAAGTTATTTAGGTGAATCTTCCTCTATAATTTAAGATGCAGATTGCAATAAAATACATAATTCATTAGAAATTGGTTCTGCCTATTTCCTACATTCTTTTTAATTGCAATTTATCTGTGTCTTACTGAAATATTTTCCCTTAGGTAGCAAGTGTCTGAGTACAATAAGGTAGCTAAGGTCACCACTAGTTTCCTGAAAAAAATACCACCTTCCTGAAAGTTTCCTGAAAGGTCTACCACTAATTTCCTTTACTGAACACTTACACTGCAGTTCATTCATAGATGCTGTCTAAAAAGGTCATTATAAACTCTGGACTTCCAAGAACTCTTTCAATATAAATTGTTTTAAAGAAATGCAGCACAGCCTTTTTAACCTAAGCACTACCTGGTGGTACAATTAAGATAGTATTCAATGCTCATGATTGAGAACTGAAAGCTTAATTGCAGAGTAGCCAACAGCAAGAAGTGCCCCCCACTTTCCTCTTCCCTGACGGACACAGTAACAGGGCTCAGGACCGCAGCATCACAGAATTGTTCGGGTCGGAACGGAGATCAGCCAGTCCGACCCTCGGCCAGGGCCGGTCACCTGGAGCAGGGGACACAGGAACGTGTCCAGGGCGGTTTTGAAAGCTTCCAGAGAAAACTCCACGTCCTCCCCGGGCAGCCCGTTCCGGTGCTCTGCTACACACAGCGTAAAGTTCTTTCCCGTGTGGAAGTGAAACTTTCTGTGTTTAGTTCACGGGGAGCGCTCCTGTCCTGTCTCTCGGCACCCGCCTCGGAGATACCTATATGCATTAATTGCAGGGAGAACCACAAACAGTGCTGCACAAAACCCTCGCCAACATCGTCTCCCGACCCGGCAGCAGGCACTTGGCAGCCGAGGGCCCTGCCCAGCCTGCGCCCCGGGAGGAGCCGGCGCGCAGCACCCGCGCACGGGAGGGGCCGGCACCGCCATGCCGGCGACCCCTCACGGCAGTGCCCTGGCTCCCGCCGCGCCCCTCAAACGGACCCTTCCGTGGGGAGAGGGCCAGCCCCCGGGGGCGCAGGAGCAGACCCGAGAAGGAGAACGAGAACCGAGACGGAGGAGAACCGGGACGGAGAACAACCTCCCGCCGCTCCCGGGGCGCCCTCACCGCCCCCTCCCCTCAGAGCGCACTCGCGGCCCCGCCCGGCGCCGCGCACGCGCCGTCGGCTCCCGCGGCGTCCCCCTCCCCGCGGCGGGGCCGGGGCGGTGACGTCAGCAGCGGCGGCCATTACACGGTGCGGAGCGAGGAGCGGCAGCGCTGCCGCAGCCGGAGCGCCCCGGGCCGCCCTCTCCCCGCGCCCGCCCGCCCGCCCTGACGCGTCGCGGCCGCCGCCGCCGCTGTGGGGAGCGCGGATCGCAGGGGCCCGCGGGGCGGTGCGGCAGCAGCAGCCGGTGAGGAGGAGGAGGAGGAGGGGGAGAGCGGGATGGAGGAGAAGGTCTTCACCAAGGAGCTCGACCAGTGGGTGGAGCAGCTCAACGAGTGCAAGCAGCTGTCCGAGGGGCAGGTGAAGAGCCTCTGCGAGAAGGTGAGCGGCGAGGGGCGGCGGGGAGGCGGCGGGCCCGGGCAGGGAGCTGCGGGCGGGGGCGGCGCCGCTCGGCCGGGCGGGCCGGGGCCGGGGCCCGGCGGGGGGAGCGGGCCGGGAGCCGGGGCCGGGCGAGCCGCGGCCCCTCGGCTGTGCCGGAGCCTCGGCTCCGCCTCCCGCCCGCTCAGCGCCTCCTAAAATGGCGCCGCGGCCGCGATGGATCCTCGGGAGAGACCCCCGAGAGACCCCCCCCGGTTAAAGCACTAAATCAGCCCCCAAAAGCGTGAGTTAGTAAAATGAAGATAAAAGCTTGTGGTAGGCGCTTGGAAATTACACGCGGTAAAGAGCTGCTTGCTTTGATTTTTTTTCTTGTATTTTTCATTATATGAATAAGCGCAGACACGTTTATAACTAATTGAAGGGTAGATTAGCTTTGGGGTTTTGGTTTCCCTCAGTAGGGTTCTGGGTTTCACGAAATTCACAGAATAAACATTCGAGTTCCAATATAATTTCGTATTTCATGGTGATGGTTTGAGACGTGGATATTACAGGGCAATGTGTTGATTGAGACATTCATAGCTTAGAAAGGTTGTAAAGCCAACCTAGGACAGATTGCATTTTGGAAATGCAGGAAAATTTTGTTTTGATATAATCCAGAGGCATTTTCCAGTCGAATTCTGATTCTGGATGTAACGTAATAGTTGAGGAGTGGTGGTGGTGGTTTTTTTGGTTTTGGTTTTTTTTTTTTTTTTTTTTTTCTGATGATTTTAGGTATTTCTAGACTGAAAGATGGTTTATTTATAAATTTTTTGGGAACTGGATATTAAGGAATATATGAAGTGATGGATGTACTGGCTTCTAAAGAAGCTTATGTACATGCCACAGAAAGTACCTAGAATATTTTAATATTGGAATCATGTTTTCACATACTACACCAGGTTGTTTTGGAAGCAAATTGATTTGAGATGACTGTCCATGAACTTAATAAAGAACTTGCAGTGATTTTGGCCAGACCAGCTCTTGCTCCAGTACAAATTTTAGTTCACTTGTATTCCAGCAACTCAACAGTTTCCATTTGGTCCAGGCTGTGTATTTTAAAGGCTGTTGCAAGCGAGTGGCAGTGTCACCGCCTGGCTATTTCCATGTGCGTCTCCAATGACGGCGGTCCAGCTGCTTCCTTGTATTGCTTTCTGTGAGAGGCAAGTATTTCACTTACCATCGTTTATAAACTGATGGGTACTGAGTCCTGAATCCCACAGGAGTGGGTGCATATGGCCCCATTTTGTGGGGTTCTGTGGTAACTTGCAGGACCATGAGGGATGTATAATGTACAAAAAGTTTTCGATGTACTGGGGGTTTTGGTTCAGTGAGAAGCAGGCATACCACAAGACATTCCTTACAGAAGATACAGTCCCAGTCATCAGTGTTGCACAAGATGACATTATCATTTTTTCCCAGTGAAGAATGGAAATGAGCTGCATTTATGGATAAATGTGCAATGCTCATCACCAGGATGATGGTAAAGGAAAAAAGCAAAGAAAACTTGGTGTCTGCTTCTGTGTGTTGAGATGAGAGACCATGAAACTGGAAGAGAAATCTGCCAATCGCAATGTTCTTTGGCAGCAGCCTTCACGTTGGCTGGGCTGGCTCTAGGGGAGCTCTGGGTGGGGTAGCAGTTCTCTCTGTGTGCCCAGTGTGTGGTCAGCACTGTGCAGAGTTCAGCCACCGGGCTGGTGATGTTAGGGAAAGTTGATTTGTTGCTGATAACTACAGGTGGATTTACTTGGACTTTATGCTAAGAGTAGTTAAGTTTGTTCATGGTTGCTGATGGAAGGAGTTGGAAGTAGGCCCTTGAACTCTGAGTTTACCATCTTCTTTTCTCCACTGTGTTCATGGAGGTGGGATGAGAGCTCAGTTCGGCACCTTTGTTCTGATGGACAGCACTTGCTTTAATGTGTTTCCATGTTCCCAGCACTGACTTTCAGAAATCTCACTGGATTGTTCTTTGTTTGGGCTATTTAAGTAGTTTTGTGCATATAATCACATCAAAAGGCTGGTTTTCATGAATAGCTTAAGGACAGTGTCAAATGCAGCTATTGTTCCAAAGCACAGATAAAGACGCTACTTAGGTATAGAGTGTTGTTCTTCACCATATTAAATTACAACTGGGGCTAGTTAAAATAAACAATATAAAAAAAAAAAGAGGGCTTTTCCTGATAACACTTTTTGATTGGATGATCTCCCTGACAAGTATTTCTTGATCTGCTGGGGCTTCCTGTGTGCAGACTGGTGACTCTCTAATGAGAATAAGCCTAAGGGCTCTCTCGTATTTCAGTATTGATAACTGAAGAAATTAACAGGTTTTTATAAACATAATAATTGTGGCCATTTGTGCATCCCAGTTACTTTCTTGGTGTGTCTTCCACTGAACCTGGTTACCTGGGTGATGGTGGTGGTGGGAACTGGGCAGAAACATCTTTGAAGTCTAGAAGTAATTTGTAACCATGAATAATACATTATACTTTCACAAATGATTTGAAATAATCAACCTCTGAGTGGCAGTTAAATAATTCTAGGCTTAGTACGTGCTGCGTGTTTAATGTTACATCAGTTGAGTAGCCGATTGTGTGTGTTTTGCTTCAGCATTTGAGAAATGCAAGTTCTAAAGAAGTGGTCAAAATATACCCAGTCCAGTTACTGTTACATGTCAGCAGTGTTTGTCCTGTTAGTGCTGAATTGTTTATTGGCAGAGGTGAAAGGAAGTCCTTTATTGCCAGGTGAGAGGTTTTCTACTGGCCATTTTGAATGAAAGGATGCTGGTTTAGTTTCTTTCCCATACATTGTGACAGTGAAGGGAAATGGTCTTGTTGTCTCTGTGTATAGATGCCCTTTATCACAGGAACTGGGGTGTGGCACATAGCTCAGGGAGGTGGGATGACAGTCTAAAATTGCACAAAGGATTGAGGTGAATTTTTGGATAGAGTTTGCTTTGGTTATTGCAGAAAGTATCTAGTGCAGGTGTAGGCAGAGGTATCAGAGCCACTCCCTCAAAAACACTACTCTGTAATTTAGGGAGTTTGAGTGTGGCATCTCCAGTTTTTGGAGAGAGGGAAGAGTATTTGGTCATCTATTACTGTGTAAAGCGTTTCAGGGTTCTTGAATTGCTAGTGAAATGCCTTTGAATAGATAGTGCTGCTAGCCAAAATATTTTCAACTAAGTGAAGGGCTGATACTGGTAAAGGCATTCAAGGTTTGACTCCTGCAGTTTTTGATCTGTAACAATGATGTTGATTACATTTGCTTTTTGATTTGTCACCATTGCTAATTTTATAGCGTAGATGTGTTTCCGGGCTGTACTGTTATCTGGCGTGTACCTTGTTCATGGTGTATTTTTCTATTTTTTTTTCCTGTTGTAGAATTTTCATTTTAATATCTGGTCTTCCAAGTTAGATGTTCTGTAGCCAAAGGTTACCCACTGCAGCTGTGTGAGTTACGCAAACTCATTTAGCTTATGTTGAGTGACTTAATTCTGAGAGGACAAGTATGTTTCCGATGAAGCTTTCTTTTAGGTCAAAAAAAGCCTGTGCAATCAAAGTTCAGTTCTTGTAATACATTAAACGTATATGTTCTGTGGATCCCACTCCTGTGTTTTAAGCTGAGCTGTCTGTCCAACTTTTTTCAGAGGCACGTGTTCCCTTCTGCTTCCTATGCGGTTCAGGAGTTGCCTTTCTTAGCTGATTATTTTGGCCAGAAGTGGATGTTTTAAACTATTTCCAGCTGCATTTGCAGAGGCTTTTCCATTAGCTAGCTTTTGTATTCCCATATCCATCATGTATAACTAACTATTCTTCAGACTAAGGTGATTGTGAAAATTAATGTTCCTGTCTGAACTTGCTGTAAATCAGCCAAGAAACCTGCCCTAACAGAATTCCCAGGTAGTGAGAGTATGCCCTGAGTGGTGGGCTGTGCATTAGGCAGGTTCTGTGTTCCTCTGCCCCTGGCAGAAGAGGAATGTGCGGTGTTGCAGTTCTGCCTTGCCACTGCCCTGGCTTCTGGATTCTGTAACAAGGGAGTGCTGCTGCCAATGGCAGGAGGGCCCCTCAGCAGCTGTTCAAGGGGCTCCGGGAGACTAGAGGGTGGTTTAGGGCTCCTTTGTTGAACGTACCTAGGGATCAAGTCATTGATGGGGCCACGTAGTTACACCTTCTATCTCTGAAGAGTTACAAGTGTAGTGTACAAAGCCTTTTGGAACACTTAAACGACTGTGTTTTAGATTATTCTTGAAGACTTTAAAAAAATTGATGCCCAGTGTTCTGATTTATTGTGAGGTTTTTTTCGTGGTTTTTTTGTGGGTTTTTTGTTTTTTTCTTTTGGTTTTTTTTTGTGTGTGTGTTTTATTTTGTTTTATGCTATGGTTGATAATGAAAAATGGAAATTGTCTCTTTCCACAGAAGGCATTTGAAGTGTCAGCCTCGCCATCCTTTTCACCTTGTCTGGATTCACATAGAACATCTTGATGTATATATAAAAATTTAGGCTTGAATGTGCCAGTGATTGTGCCATCAGCAGCTTTCTGGGTTGGGTTTTTCTTCAATTCTAGTAAGTTCTGTAAAAATTGGGTTGTGCTAGCAGTGCGGTGTTTGGTTTGCTTTTTTGCTTTTTAGTTGCAATATTAGTTGTGATCAAGTAGGAGTGAAAGATACTTGTGTTGTTTTGGGCATAGTTTAAGCTAACAGCAGGAAGCACTCCTAAGTCAAAGTTCATACTTGAGTTGTGCCAGTTTGAGGCTGAAGACATGGATGAGGCTCCAGGACTGATGTCCTCTTCCAAATCTATCTGTGCTGAGGCTGTTGCCTCCTCAGATGTGATGACAGTACTGCTCTGTGATCACTTCTAAGCCATTTCCCTGGGTTGCCAAGCCCAGCACAAAACCCAAACCTGTCTGGCTGTGTCTAGCCTTGTACAGCAGATCTGTGTGAGGGGAATCACAGGAGCAGGGATTG